GTACTTGTCATCTTTGAAGCCTTAGAGCTCCATCTGAAGCCAGTCATGACATAAGGGCTTCTGAGTTGACTGTGTAGCAGCTAGAGCACAGACCCTTGGTGGTAGAGAGGTCTTGGATTTTAATTCTGTCTCAGCAATTGACTGTTTTCTTCTGCACTTCAAAGCAGTATGGGGAAAAATAGTTCTTGCTCCTTTCAGCAATGTGTATTGAAATCTAAAGAAAAGGAAGAAGCAAGAAGTACAACAGTTATCAACACATTTTGTTTGATATGTGAGCAAAAACCTGTGCTTTTTAACAAAATAGAGGACTGATAAAATTCCTGGACTTGGAAGGAAAGAAGTTCCTGTACGCAGTATGATTTGTGGTGAATGTACAGTAGAGCTGAGTCTTTTCTACAGGAAATTCCTTTCTGCAGGCAGATTTCTGTCCTTAAAGCATTCTTGTAGAATCCACATGAGGAAGGTATGCAGCCAACTGTGAGGAGTTGGTCTTGACTTGTGAAACTGAAACCTTGATCCAAATCGCCATATCCAAATTGGATATGGCTAACTCTGAGAGCAGTCTTGCCCTCTCACAGGCCAAGCTGTGGAGTGTTGTCCTCTGGCTCTGAACGCTTTTAGTCACTGTGTTTGGGTTGCCTGTTTCTAGTTTGATAATCTTATGTTGTCAATGCCTCGATTTTCCATCTAGAATTACAAGCGACCGATGGACGGCAGCTACGGCCCACCTGCCAAGCGGCACGAAGGGGAGATGTACAACGTCCCGTACAGCGCAGGGCAGGGGCAGACGCAGCAGCAGCTGCCTCCAGCACAGACTCAGCAACCGAGCCAGCAGCAGGCTGCACAGCCTTCTCCACAGCAGGACCTGTATAACCAGTATGGGAGCACCTACCCTGCTGCTGACCGCCGATCTGCGGGAGGGCCGCAGAACCAGTTCCCATTCCAATTTGGCAGAGACAGGGTCTCGGCTCCCCCAGGCTCCAATGCTCAGCAAAATATGCCTCCCCAGATGATGGGGGGTCCCATCCAGTCTGCTCCAGAAGGCCCCCAGCAAGGCGCCATGTGGCAGGGGCGCAACGAAATAGGGTACACCTATCCTAATCGGCAGAGCGCTGGCTCTGCACCCCAGGGGCCTGCTTATCACGGAGTGACTCGAACAGATGATATACTGCATTCAGAACAGAGGGTAAACCATGAGGGACCATGGCCTTCCCATGGGAATCGGCAGCCTCCATACGGCCCCTCTGCCTCTGTTCCTCCAATGACTAGGCCACCTCAGTCTAACTATCAGACCCCTCCTAGCATGCAGAATCACATTCCTCAGGTATCCAGCCCAGCACCTCTGCCCAGACCTCTGGAGAATCGCACTTCTCCCAGTAAATCTCCATTTCTGCACTCGGGGATGAAAATGCAGAAGGCAGGACCGCCAGTCCCCGCATCGCACATCACACCAGCAGCTGTACAGCCTCCCATGATACGAAGAGACATCACCTTCCCACCGGGATCAGTAGAAGCTACTCAACCTGTATTAAAGCAAAGGAGGCGGCTGACAGCAAAAGATATTGGTAAGAGGATACTCCTGCATTTCTGCTTGTGCTCGTCAGGAGGCTGGGTGTTACCATTTCTCTTTGGTACAGCGCTGCCAAATGGAAGGGCACTGCCAGCTTTGTAAGAACTCTCCCAGTTAGTTGAGATAGAATGTTTGTGCTGGGCATTGTCTGTGCAGAGATTGCTTTTGCATGAAGTCCATGCAACATGTTAAATAGGCTTCGCTCTTTGTGGGACCAGAAAGCAGTATCAAGTATCTCATTTTTGTTTTTAAACTCCAGGAGCTAGAAGTATCATGTGTTTATGTTCCAGGAACTCCTGAAGCTTGGAGAGTGATGATGTCTCTGAAGTCTGGGCTGCTAGCTGAAAGTACATGGGCCTTAGATACCATAAACATCCTGCTCTATGATGACAACAGCATAATGACCTTCAACCTCAGCCAGGTGGGTGCAGATGTTCTCTGATGCAGGTCTTTGAAGTGCTAAGTTTGTACAGTTTTCTGTCAGTGCGATAGTAAGAAGCAGCTTGTGCCCTTGTAGAGCCATACTGCCAGGTGTGCCTGTACCCATGGAGTGTGTCAGGTCTGAAAAGCACTTTGGGTCTAGGGAGCTACACTGGGTGCTCACTAACCTGAATTTGCATTTTGTTGGTGTACAGGAGTACAGTCTCTCATCCCTGGTGGGACGTACTGCCTCAAACACAGAAAAAAAATCACAGTGAGGAAGCCAAGAGGGGCTTTGCAGCAGAGTACTGTGAAGGGTTGAATGCTGCTTGCCTAGCCTGATGCGATGGCATTCGCCTCTAGCTCTGTCTTTCCCCATGAGTCAGTGTGCAGTGTGGGCCAGCCTATCTCCATGAGTTACCTTGTGCCTGCATGGCTGTTGTCAAAGCTGTTCCACAATACTGTGAAGGCTGTCTGCTTAGCATTGCCCCCTTCCTTTCTGTGTGTTAATCAGAGAGGAGATAAAACCAAGAGCGTTTGTGTTTGCACAGGTATGGGTGTGTGGGCTATGCTGGTGTTGGATCCTGGCAGTCAGGGTCTGTTTCCCCCTTGTGTCTGTTCTCAGAGGACAGAAAGCTTTCTTGCCAGCATCTTATTGCCAGCATGAACAGATCTCATTAATAAACAGCACTCCTTAAGATCTCTGCTCTTTATGCAGAATTTTTCCATTTGTTCATAGTGGCCTAAGTTGCTTTATGATCACTGTTCCCTTTCTTCCTTCCTTCCCCTCCCATTTTTCTCCTCCCCCATAGTTGCCAGGCCTGCTGGAACTCCTCGTGGAGTATTTCCGGCGCTGCCTGATTGAGATCTTTGGAATCCTGAAGGAGTACGAGGTGGGAGACCCAGGGCAAAGAACACTATTAGATCCCCAGAGGTTCTGCAGATCTTCAGCTTCTTCTCATGAGGAAGGGGAGGAGGATGAGGAACTACAGAGCCTGAACTATGAGGAGGAAGAAGATGATGAGGAAGAGGAGGTGGCTGCATTTTCGAGCAAGGACAAAGCACCTCTGGAGTGCAGCGAGGAGAAATTAGTTAGTAAATTTGACAAGCTTCCGATCAAGATTGTGCAGAAGAATGACCTGTTTGTGGTAGATTATTCAGACAAGCTGGGACGAGTGCAGGAGTTTGAGAGCGGCCTGCTGCACTGGCGGATTGGTGGCGGTGACACTACTGAGCACATTCAGACCCACTTTGAGAGCAAGATGGAGCTACCTATGATTCACAAACGAGCGTCCTGCAATTCTGTCTCGAGGAAACGCGCAGCAGCTGAGAGCAATCCAAGCACTAGGGAAGGAGAGGCTCTTCCATCTGACAGCTCCTCAGAGAAGAGAATAACTGCCACCATGGACGACATGCTTTCAGCACGTCCAAGCTCATTATCAGGGGAGGAGGAAGAGGCCAAAGCTTCAGAAACAGAGAAGGAAAGTAAGTTTCCATTTGGCATTAGTCCAGCACAGAGTCACAGAAATATAAGAATTCTGGAGGACGAACCTCACAGTAAAGATGAGACGCCCCTCTGCACCATCCAAGACTGGCAGGACTCTCTGGCGAAGCGTTGCATCTGTGTCTCTAACATCATCAGGAGTTTATCGTTTGTGCCAGGCAATGACTTTGAAATGTCCAAACATCCCGGGCTGCTGCTGATTCTAGGGAAACTGATTCTTTTACATCACAAGCACCCGGAGCGCAAGCAGGCACCCCTGACCTATGAGAAGGAGGAGGAGCAGGACCAAGGGGTGAGCTGCAACAAGGTGGAGTGGTGGTGGGACTGCCTGGAGGTGCTGCGTGAAAACACACTGGTCACGCTGGCCAACATTTCTGGCCAGCTGGACCTGTCTCCTTACCCAGAAAGCATCTGTTTGCCTATCCTGGATGGACTCCTCCACTGGGCAGTATGTCCATCAGCAGAGGCCCAGGACCCCTTTCCAACGCTGGGGCCGAACGCGGTCCTCTCCCCTCAGAGACTGGTTTTGGAAACACTCAGCAAACTCAGCATCCAGGACAACAACGTGGATTTGATTCTTGCAACTCCCCCTTTCAGTCGCTTGGAGAAGCTGTACAGCACCCTGGTGCGTTTCCTTAGTGACAGAAAGAACCCGGTGTGTCGAGAGATGGCTGTGGTACTACTGGCCAACTTGGCACAAGGGGACAGCCTGGCAGCGAGAGCGATTGCTGTGCAGAAGGGGAGCATTGGCAACTTGCTG